ATATATGCGTGTGTGTGCGTGAGTGTGTATATAAGATTGCTGGCGACGAGTTTCTAACCAAGCATCTCAGAGTACATCCCTGCAGCCCAAGATAAACTCTCATTCACTGTCAGTGGAGTGTACCACAACCTCTACATCCATCGCTTACTTCCATCCCCTATCAATTGCTTCTCCTTACCCTTTAGGCTTGTACGTATAGCCTAAGCGGTCGTTTGGAGATTGGTGAGCAAACCTTCTATTTTAATTTATAGTGTTAGTGTATACTATCCGGAATGCATCTGTATCTGACAAATACCCACACCCACACATTCCACACAAGGTGCCTAAACTTAGCGGCCGTTGTATGGTTCCGAGAACGAAGCCCGTTCCAGACCATCAAGCCATATGTCTTATCTGTCCTCATCGACTCTGTAGATACTATACTTCCGATGGACTACTGACCAATCTCGCACCCATCACCCCAGGACATATCCATCTTCCGTTGGCTTTACGTCTGATACTGAACGCTCGCTCAGTCTCCAGCGTCTTGACGTCCGTTCCAACTCGAAGCATACAACTTGTTTGCCTTCGTGAGTGTTAGTTCTAACCTGTTGCGCCGGGCTCTCCAGTTCGGCTCCAACACACCCTGTCTCGCACCCATTGTACCCACGTGCTAGCCCATATTTGTGTATTGTGGTCAGCCCTCTCCACTTTTTTGTTGGGCCGGAGATCTGGTGCCTTCGCAATCCATCACAATCGCACCTCACACATTGTGTACATACTCCAGGGCCGACTCTTGAGAACTGCCTGTCCTCGCTGATTGAGTGTGCCCTAGAAGCCCCCTCTAGTATCCTGGACATACAGTCTCCTGTCGGTGAAGTTATATTTGTACACACTGAGCATGCATGCCATGTCTCTAAATTCTGCACTGTAAATCAGTCGATTTATATTCATGGATATAAATACCCATCCCCAGTGCTTTGCATGTGGACCTCATCGCCTACTAACCAATATCCCTCACACCAAGCGTGCATACTTTGTAGCCGAGGTCTGTGCGCTATAAGCTCTCTCCAGTGTCTTGAGCATACAGCCCATTGTCTTGGCGATGTCGCGCGTGTCATCCAGGCTGAGCTTCGGGTTATTCAGAGCGGTGGTATACTCTCCGATTCTCCGCAGTAGTGTAGCCGTAACGTTTTGAAGAGAGGCATCCGCTGTGTTGGCAGATGCAGAACTTCGCACGGATGGGGCTGAGACAACACCCGAGGCATGTGTTGGTTAGTATACGTACGTAGGAAGACTGTATTCATATAGGAACGTTATACGCCGGGCGAACGTTTGTGTAGCAGTGCATGTGTGCAGGAATCATTGGACTCGCACTCGCACGATAAAAGTACGGCGTAATACCACCCGGATGAGGGGTATAGGGGAAAGGTGTTTGTACGCAATGTGATATTGTCACAGGTATAGTTTATCAGAGCACAGATGTAAGCTATAAACCGACTTCGACATCAGCCGTATCGTCATGAACCCGCATTTCAAATCAGATTCATATTTCTACCACTCGTATTGCAAATTTAAATAAAGTATAAGATGTTTCCAATAAAGCATACACAATTCACCATAGAGCATATACTGTTCCTAAGATCCATATAACATGTTTTTATAGCATAAACACTCACTAAGCGATATTCATTTTCCTTTATATACAAGTCTTCGATGCACACATCACTAATATATATATATATATATATATATATATA